CTTTGATTCCACCTTGGGAGCCACTTCTTCGACCTTTGATTCCACCTTGGGAGCCACTTCTTCGATCTTTGATTCCACCTTGGGAGCCGCTTCCTCAATTTGCGTCTTCACTGCAGTGCCTGCATCCTCAGCAGACTGCACTACCTGGGCCCCTGCCCCTTCTGCTGCTTCCTTGACTTCTCCCGCCGCTGCCTCCAGTTGGGCCTTCTCCCGAGCGGCCCGCTCCTGTATGGCGTGTACCAGCTCCCGCCTCTGGCGCTCAGACTCTGCATTGGCCACAAGGAAGGCGTTGAGTTACCATGAGCGATTGCAATTGCTGGCTTTTCATCAGCGATTGGTGTTACGGAAATGCAGAAGTTGAGGCAGTCACAAAATTTTGTCATAGGGGTCCTCAATTTAGAGGGCCTAAAAGGGAATCACCACCAATGAGGCTCCAAAAATAGCAAGCGCAGAGTGTATACATGAATATCAAAGGAAGCATATCCACATTCATGTTTCTCTGCTGACCTGTGATCCCCTCCTCCTCGACAAAGGCCAGCGCCTTGTCCACCCCGAGCACAGAGAACGGAAGTGCTATTCCTACAGACAGCAGCGACCTTCTGGAAGTAGCAACACCACCTGGTTTGACCATCTGCGCTCTCTCCTGAGCTGCATTGCACCTGATGCTGACACGACGTTGAGTCGTCGATTGCTTCTGTTGGCATGGCGCCTGGGGACTCAGCAATGCACCTCTGCTTGCGCTGGTAGCGCACCTCGAAGCAGCTGTCGCCATTGCGACAAGAGCAGACGGCGAAGCCCCTGTTCCCGGCCTGTGAAGCTGGCCTGGGACGCAAATCTCCTCCTCAGAATCTCACTTTGTATCGTACAGGCTACCGTCAGCGAAAGGACCAAGTTGAAGGAGGGTTCTGTGCAGCAACTTCAAGCAGCGACTAGGTCCGAGGGGAGAGAGGAGCTGACTCTGACACACTCTGTTGACATGCAGCCGGTAACAGTCACTTACATTGTCCGCAGTGTCAAAATGGATGCTTCAAACACACTTAGACAAACTTTGCAGATTGGTGGTCTTAACGCCCAGCAATTCGATTTTCAATTAGCTGCTTTGCATTCAAAATGGGTTGTGCAGTTGATCGACCCCTCTATCTCGGCTTCTTGGAAAGGCCTACCATATTCTAATCTTTTGGAAACTGGTCTTGGCAACTCCTTATTCCTAGCAGACAAATCTGTCTTAACTCTCAAATCCATCCCTAGCCGGTGGAAATCCTATCTCACAGGATGGTTTGCTCCAGGCTTGTCAGTGGCTGAACCTCCTTTGGACTTTGATTGTCTTCTCAACGAGTCTCTTTGGTTCAATCGCTTCATCAAAAAGGAGAATGGTCAATCTTTCGGTCACTATCTAACACTGATCAGAAGTTGATTTCTAATGGTGGACCTTTTTTCATTTCAGATATCGTCAAGAAGTTTGAGTACGGCGGCAGTATAAAATTGACTTTTCTGGAGGAACGTGAACTGCGGGCGAAGTACGATGCCAATACTGCAAAAGTATTGGTCTCACTCATTGAATGCATTCCGCTCGGCTGGCGCGCCGTTATTTCTACCAAGGTGAGACAGCCTTTTGCACAGCATGATTGGATCGTTGAAAGGAGATATGTGCAGCATCCTACTACTCGCTATCCGGCATTTGTATACCGTGTAGCACAATGTCTGTCTGGGAAGGTCATTGCTCTCAAATTTACAATCGACCCTGCAAATGCAATGATTCGCCGAATCTCGCCCGAAACGCATGCTACACTATCTAAAGCTCATATAGTCAAAGCTTCGGTGATTCAAGCTTCTTCTGCGGGGTCCCGGCATGCCGACGAAAGTCCGTCGACAAACCCGTCACTCGGGAACCGAACTCCGCAGACTGCGAAACTGGAACCCTACTGAGACCGAAATTCGATAAGGCCATCCGAAATTCGATAAATATTTTGCCTGTCCGAAATTCGAGTTGTCCGAAATTACATCGACTACTCTTAGTTCTGAGGGCTCGGTAGGGCCGGCTCGGCGCGCAGCGACGTTCTGAAGTCGCGCAACGTTCACCATGCTTCTCTTCGCCAGCATGTTTCAAGCCTTTCAAGCCTTTCAAGCCCTTCAACTTCAAAGTTCTGGGGCGTCTTCCTTGAACTTGAAGTTGCAATGCTTGCATGCTCGTTTTTGCGACAAGGAGAGGAGGAGCTCCTCCACAGCTCAGCAGCTGGCGTAGACGGTGCTTTCCACCCTTTGTTGTCCGCAGGGCATGGCCTTTTGCTTGCAAGCGATGTGTGCTCTCGTCGGAGTAGATACGTCCGGACGTCGCTGCTGCAGGTGCGCCCTGCAGTTTGTATCTTCCGGACTCTGCCCTTGTGCTTTGTGGCAGCAAAAGCTGATGGTGAATCTTCAGAGCCTCCATCAATGCTTTAACAGGGGAATGTGCTGGCACAAAACAGCATTGGGCACAGGCAAGCAGGTCTCCGTTGTGCAGTTAGCAATTGATTGAAAGTGAGTCTGCTATTGCAGCTCAGCCTCCATGCAATTGTCAAATAGCCAACAGTTGAAAGTGTAAGCACATGCAGGCGAGCAGCATTTGCATTTGCAGTCACGTCAGAGCAGCAGGGGCTTGTGGTCACAACCAGGAACCTGCAGACTTCATAGTAATCGTTTTTGCGTTCCCCCTGTTTCCTAATTGGACTGCTTCCAGTAGATTTGAGATACAGAGTCCAAGCACATCCTCTGTCCGTTGGAGCGGTGGGCATGCCAACTGCAAACAACTCACAGGTAGGAGAAACTGTGCTCTATTCCAATCTCACTACCGTTCTGTCATAAGGGGCATTCACTTACAGAAGAAGAGAAGAGAAGAATGCACACACTGTCAATTCTATACGTTTCACATGAGATCGTAGGTACTACCTTCATGTTCTTTCTTTGCGATGGACGTGTTTGGCTGTCTAATTGATTCTTTGTGTTCATTGTATTTGAATGTTGCCGCGCATTCCACTGGCCATCTGTGGGAGAAAGGAGGGAATGCACAATTTGAAAGATCGGCTTGACGCAGCAGCTCTTCAATTTTGGCAGAATGAGACGTCGTTGAGCTGAACTTTTAAGGTCTGTGTGCTTGGTGTACTCATTTTGTCCCAGAGGATGCTGGGTACTCATTCTACGGCTTTTTGTTGATGACTTGAGGGGCTCCGTTGTTATCTGTTTGGCTGTCTACACGCGGAGCTCAGCTTGACTTCTGTATCTGCGTCAGCAATTACGCCTATCTTGTGTGACAACCTTTGCAGGGGTCATTGATAAGCCTTGAATGCTGCGACTTTCTGTTTATCTGAAATGATTCACGCTACTGGTGCTCCCTGACTAGCGTGTGGCCAGTAGAGATGTCTCCCTACCCGCCGCTCTTGAAGCTGGAACATTCAGCACCTCAGAAAGTCAGGCGCAAATTGGACATCCAATATTGTGCATCTTTGGTAGCACCGCTTTGTGGTCTAGCGGAAGCAAGTTTGCTGGTTCTTAGTAGAAAGCTGGAGAATAATGAGGAGGGTAGGTGGCGTTTTGCTGTTGCTCCAGCGATTGCATATTGGTAATTGCTGTTGAATCAGGCTGAGATGCGTTTCTAATTGCTTCACAGAGTGGGTCGCCGCGCAGGCTGCCGCCCTACTTTGCCGCCTCTGGTTGCGGGTGGTCCCGCTATCCCGGCACTCAACCTCATCCCCAACGTTGCTCACATCACTTGGGAAGGTTCTCAGGTAAAGTGGCGTGCCCTTTTCTGCTTACCCGCTTACCAGCTTTCTGCTTAACTATGTCTTTGTACTTACGGCTGGTACATGCATTATGGTTCCTCAACACCTGCTTCGCTTCATCAAGACTTTCCCTTGAACGTCCCAATCTTGTTGAACTGTGCTTCAAATTATTTAAAAGACTCCTTTTGGTCCTGCTGCATTGCAAGCACCCAAATGCATGCAATTTGCCTGCTCCTGCTCCTCGGGCATCTTCTGATTGGCCGTCGAAAGAAGAATTATTGATGGTTAGAAAAGTGGTCCGGCTCTGCATCGCTCCTGCTCCTGCTGTGTTCTGCATTCTTTCAGAGTAGACTTGTGTCCTTAAAGACGCCAGGCTCGCCCCAACATGTTGGCAAGGAGCGTCTAAATCGGTCTCCTTTACAGCGAGTTCATCGTGTCACAGACCTCTGGTTTGGCATATTTGTTCGTCAAGCTGGCAAGGTCGCATCTGCCGAGTCCGAATTGCTCTCAGTTGGCCCCGAAAATCAGAGGAGTTGAATTGCGTGACGGCTTTATCTGGTACTTTCGTCTTGCTGACGTCGACTGACACGATCGCCTCTGATCGGCATGGACTTTCAGGACTACAAGAAGGCTAATAGTAAGAACATCGCGCGGCTGGTCAAGGGCGCACGCAACCACCAGACCAACGCGCTGCGCTCCTTATACACCCAAGGAAGGTGAGGCACCTCGCCCCTGATTGATGACGTTCTATGATGTATGAAAATTGGAGGGATCCCAGGGTCTGTGAGTTCCAGGTCACATCTTGGTTTGCTGGAACCCAGCGTTGCGTCTCTCGGTTTTTTATCGTATCTGGAGATTGTTAGCCTGTTTTGAGTGGTCCTCTTTCTCTTCTGGTCATACGTAGGACTCGTTCTGGAAGAAGCAAACAGTATCTATCTTCTTGGTTGCAGAAACAAAGTCAAAGGCTCAGTACATCACCAATTCCAAGCACTGACTGTGAGGCCTTGACTGTGGGGCCTGCTTGTGCGTCGCATCCTCGGTATTTTACAATGCTTTTACCGCTCACTTCATACGTTGCCTCCCCCTCAGGGTCTCAAGGAGGACGCTGAGGGGTCAGCTCGCATGAGCTCCCCCCGCTTTCCGAGATGACGTTTCAGCCTGGGGGGGTTCGCCCCACAGCCCAGGAGGCCCCCACAAAAGAGCACATTGGTGGAACGAGTCATCAAGTGTTGGCCTCCAGAAAGATGACGCCATGGCATCGGAAGCGCAAAAGCAGAGGGCCATCGCCCAGAAGGCGGCTGCTGCGGTTGCGGCGCAGCGTGGGCGCGCTCGCCCGCCGGCAGGGGACAAACGGTGAGGGGGATATAACGACGTTATGGTCAGCGGAGAAAGTGATTACGAACAATATTGAGGCCCTTTTCTCTTTTCTCGTTTTTCTTGTAAGCGAAGAAGATTGCATGAGGTGGCTCCAGGCATGCCATGCCGACTGGTGGAATGAGAATGCCCACTCATCCCGGACGATCCGTTGGTGTAGGACTGCGTCTCAAACATCTGATTGCGAAGTCAGTTGGTTGAGTCTTCTGGCTGTCGACGTTCATGGGATTCAGCTAGGAGCAGGCAGACAAGCTGGAACATCGACGTAGGTGCATCGAAGGTCGTCAAATAAACGAGCTGTGCACACAGATGGTCGAAGCAGTGTTATGTGTCCTCCTTTACCGAGCCTGATGATGGCCGCGTGTTTGCGCAACGAACTGACCCATTGGAGACGGAGTGGACAAAGCATCAGCTGGGCATTCCGTCTTGCACAGCTTTGTATGTACCTTCAATCGTTTAAACTCTCCGCGTCCTCGAAGCCCACCCTTACGATTGTCGTCTTTCTCTGGCAGTTGTCAAGCCCCATTTCGAGCAGCCGCCCGCGGCAAAGCCCTCTTCTCCCATGCGCCGGCAAAACCTTCCCTCCAGTACCGAACGCGCCAAGAAGGCACTTTCGGCGGGATTTTCTTGAGCCCTCGAGCCAGTCCAGGCCCTCCAGCTTGATGTCAACAATACACTTGACAGACAATCTCGTTGATCATCGTAGGCTCTGTAGAAGCGCTAGATTGCTTTCAATATACTGTTCCTGATGACTCCTGAATTTGTTTGAGGTAAGGCGGTGTAGAGTGCAACCCAAGGACCGATCGACCATGAGTTGAAGAATCGCCGCAGATTCCCGACCCAGAGCCACATAATGGATCGATTGCTGACTCAAGTCGATGAGCTATTCGCGAATGAGTTGTTACTATAATATTTGGCACATGCGGGCAGGACATGGCGGCTACACATTTAATACGATGGTGTGTATTGAACACACTCGATGTTACAAAGAATCAAGAGTGGTACACATTCTGAAAAGGGATAGCTCGACGTTCTATCAAGAGCATGTTGTTTAAGAAATATGCGTGTTTGCTTCGGCGCGCAGACGCCCGCTGCGAACGTACCTACATCACGAGGTCGCATAAGTGCAGTACGTGCGCGGCTCATATATGTCGCGACCGCGTGCAGTCGGATGGGCCATCATGCACGCGGCCCGCCCTCATGTGATTAATTTTGGGGTTGGCGCTGCACGTACATACCATCTATGCATCTCAGCTTGAGCCTTGCCAGCAAAGGAGGTTGTTGGTCTCCGCATCGATGAATCGTGGTGGCAGGGCCGAGCAGGCTCGAGTCGTGCAAAGCCCTGTTGCAATGCATGCCTTCTCCTACATAATTCTATATTAGTTCTGAGTTCAAGAAGCGCCCCGCGCAAGACTACTGAACTGAAGTTTGGCGCGACGGTCGTCATGATGCCTCAATCTTGATACGGATTATGTGGACACAGATACAAGCTCGTGTACACAAACAACACCAGCTCAAACATAAACATCGGCGGTAGGAAGGTGAACACCAGAATTGCAGCCTGTTCTGCGGGATGGTGGAGGGGAGCTTGTTTGAGTTTCGATCCAGCGGATCCAGGCGGGATTGACCCATCGCTTTACAAGGAATCAACATTGGGGAGTTTTGAGGCGCGCAACTGCCCTCCCGCACGTACAGTCTCAGTGGCATGCTCGGATCAACCGGGCATGATGGTTCCATGACTGCACCGTCCTCAGTTGGAATCGAAGGCCGCAGAGGGCCATCCTGGAAACCTGCTGGGTTGAAAGTTACGTCAGAACTTCAGCACATCGGAATTTATAACGATTCGTAGTTCTAACGAACAAAGCGAGTGTCATCCACATGAGGATAATAAGGAGACATGCACGATTTGCAGCAAACGACACTTCGGACAGATTTGAGATTTCAGGTGCCTGCAGTACCTAGTACGCAAAAAAATCAATCGAAGCCGCGGCTCCTCGCGGCCGCACAGCCGTTTTGCCATCATTGGTCACACATTCCTGACGAAGCTCTGACCTCACCATCTTTGCTGTCCAGGTGGTCCAGGAGAAGCGCGGAAAGAAGGGCGCGCAAATCTCAGGGTCAGCAGCCTGTTTTTTCGGCCCCCCTCCCTCCGTCGAGCAGCGTTTTACTTTTTTTGTCCCCGTTACCGGTACGTGTTTTCCACCCCTTATCTTTTTCGGCGCATGCCTTCTTCCACCTGCTTCACTGCTTCGTCCCGCCATTCCGTTGCTCAGACCGGCGTTCATCACATCAATGATCGTGATCAATCAAAACAGATTAGGTCCAAGGAAAGATCGATGCTAATACTACCATGCAGCTAGATTGGTCTAGTTTCGCTCCCCGGAATGTTCGCTCAACTTTGCTAACCGCTGAGATGATTCTTTTTAATCTTGATGTGACGTGCTGAAAAGTACAGTGCAAGGACCACGGTGTTTGTCTCCAGATCAGACGAGCTCGATCTTGTTTCGGTGCATGATGGTGGCCGCACACTTCGTGTTCTGCATACTTATCCTCAGGCTCAGAGCCTTAGGTCTACCAAATTCGGATGTGCCATCATTGAATTGCGTAGACCAAGTGGATTTGACCGTCAGAATCTGCTGAATCAAACAGATCAAACGGCGCATCAAGAATTCAGCACTGACGATATGATGGTGATTTGTACAATTGATTCCAGTGTCAACCATAGATATCAGCAATCTGAAGCTTAAAAGCGATCATGAAATGACGTGTGCAATCAATCGATGACACTTAAGGTCTTCGCTGATCGTAGGCGGCCGCGGCGCGGGCTCATTGCGGCCGCGCAAACGTTTTAAAGCTCCATCATCATGGCGTTGATCTCGCATTCCTACGAAGACCTGACTTCATCATCTCTGCTCTCAGACGTCGCTAAAGCAGGACGGGAGGCAAGGCGCTTCACAGATCAGTTGCACAAATCCTTGCATTCGAGAACAGCTGGTACCTTTAGTGGGACGTATATGAGCTCAAGCTGCCAACCGAGGGTCACTGCTTTGTCAATCGCAGTGAAAGTCTGTGGCGTTCACTTGTGATTACTCAACGTCTCAATAGCTTTACCCTTTGAGCAATCAGTGTAGGGTTCCCCTGAGATGATGCGTCTGCGCCTGCGCCTTAAGCCTCCAAAATTAAGGTGATGTGGGGAGACCAGAAAGCATGGAAATGGGGATTACACTATCTATATTCAAGTTTTGAACGACTCACTGAATCACGCTTTTGTCGCGTGTCTGATGTTTGAGGCAAAGATGAAGACGCACAATAAGGGACTGGCGTTGGAAAAGGATGGCTCCTGGCAGAGGGTGACTGTTTCAAGATCAAGGTGATATTCCATGTCGTTAGGGAAGTTACAGCAGATAGGATGTTTTCTGGTGATTGCTACATCAATTTGTCAAATGACTAAATTTCTTAGTCATTTGTGTCGAGACTCAAATGAGTTCATGGTTCGAACTCCATAGAATGCAGAGACGGGCATCTGATCTTTGAATCTGCGGTCCGCAAGAGACACCAGACCCCCCAACCTTACAAATAGTTGCTTAACCAGGATGTTTTACAATATTGATTTGAAGCCGTCAGCCACTCCATGAAGAAGCGATTTGATTTGACTACTCTCAGAAATTGCTTGTTTGTCTGGAATACGACTTTTGGCTTGACTGCATTCAAGTAAACATCCAGCGAAAGTACTCCCAAGTCGGAGCATGATCTTCAGACAATGAACTCGTTTCATCGTTCTGGGTGTTGCAAAACCATTGATGATCTGCTGATGCCACTGCTAATGCTATCTGGCGTTCATTCCAGCAAAATGCTGTGAGTATACAACCTGCTATTACGCTTGTTGGTCAATCTATTGGCCTTTCGTTTTCCCAGGTCGCCAGCCATGCTTTGCCTGGATGGGACAGAGAGTCTGACCGGCCAAGGGGTTTCATGCCTCCCTCTACGGACGAATTGGCAGAAGCCTGAGAAGGAGGAAGAGGGACTTGTAGGAGATTTCAAGGGAGGGAAGTTGGTACGAGGGACCACCGTCAAGCACAATTCCGCAGTCGCATCAAGGGCGACGTTCGACTATTTGCCCAATGCTAATGGTCGCAAGTCAGCTAAGAGGCCAGCGGAAAGTGCACCATGGGAGCCAGGGACTCGTGATGTGACGGAGAAAGGGGTGGATAGGTCCAAGCGACGGTTCCCGAAAGCGAGAAGACACCGGCTCGCGAGAGGGGGCGTTTCTGGCAAGCACGTGAACCGCGCAAAAGCAGTCGAGCAGATTCTTTCTGCCCATCAGCGCGCGGAGGAGGAGGCAATTCGGCAGGCTGCTATGCGGAGGAAAGCAACTTTTGAGAAGCAGCGCCGCAGGAAAGTATGCAGGGCAAGGGAAGCGGAGAGGGACACGCAGGCGGGAGTGGAGGTGAAGAACGCAGAAAGAAAATGGCAGGATGGGCAGCCAGCAGATGCGGAGGAAAAGGAAGAGAGAGCGAAGAGTGGGCAGCAGGAGCAACTGCGGCACTCGGTTGGCGGGTGCCGTGATGAGAAGAGAACGACATCGGAAAAGCAGGCAGGGGGCTTCTTCTCGCTCGAACGATGTAAAGTGTTTTTTAAAAAGGTGAGAAGAAGGCTTCTGCCCGACTTCTAAGATTCCCCTGTTCCTCCGTCGTTGTCAGCTGCCTCTCGCATCCTCAGAATTTAGGAGCCCCAAAACATGGATTCACGGGTCCCTTAACACGTCCTTCTCAACCAGTTTACCAAAAACGAAACACTTCTCTTCGTTGTGTGATTATAAACAAAGCATCCTAAGCAATTTGAGACCAGCAGTAGACATCTGCGGTCTACTAAGATAAGATTTGAAACACAAGAGAGTCGTCTAGAAGGGAGTGAATTAGATCATGGCCTTCAAATCATGCGGAATTATTGGTAAAGGTCTATCGATTGTCCACCTCTTCTGTTCATTTTGAGACATGTCACACCAACGAAAGTCTACAAAAGTCTATCATCTGTGCCACAGGATATCACATTCAGCTGAATGTCAAGGATTACGATTACCTGAACTCACGAGACAGTTCACCCCTGGCGCAGACTGGCCCCCAGAAGATCAATCACGCCGGCGCCCCTGCTGCCCCCATAGTCCCAAGGGGCCAAGACCTGCGAGCGGGCGCCATGTGTGGTCGCAGCGGGTATCGCGCCGATATTTCCGATCCTGAGGCGGAGGCGCCCACCAACTTTGGCGTCGGCGTGCGGGAGGCCTTTGTGAGCGCGGCCGCCCCCGCAGATGCCGATAGCGTGCGCGAGGTCCCCCGTCAACGTAGGGGTCGCGCGCGTGGCCGCGCTCCCTGATCGGAAACTAGCGGCCGAGGCTGTCACAGCTGTTGAGGGCTGCTCATCCAACATTGAAGCGCTCACGGCTCCGATCCGCGCTTCCGCAGCGCACACGGCCGCAATCTGCGGTGCCGCAGTGCGCGCAGCCTCTCTTTCCCGCGCTGGTCCCTCGGCGACGCCTTCTCCTTCCGACGCTGCTCATAGTGATACACCTTGTCGCCTCTCCAGCGTCCAGACGACACCAGCCGCGGACGGAGAGACGGCAGGACAAACGCGCGACTGTCGGGAGGTGCTCCGTTTGCGCGGTGGTGGGCCGAAGCGGAAGTCCAACTACTCCGAGGAAGAGTGGGAAACAGACAGCGATTCCGAAGAGTCGGACGAGATTTGGAAAGATCTCGAGGAGCTGAACGGAGAATCTGACGACGAAGAGAGGGAGGACGAAGCAGAGGGGGGTTCGATGAATGAAGCGGAGGCTGAAACAGGGCCCCCTGAAGAAACTTCCGATGACGGGGGAGAAAAGTCGTCCGAAGACGCGTCCAAAAGTAACGAGGGTTCGGAAGAGAACATGGAGGTGGAGTTGCCCAGACCCATGGCCCGGGGTTCAAACCAGGGGGAAGGAAACAATGCGGATGCAGAAGAAGACCCGTCCCTTTCAGGCGGTGCTGCAGCGGCGCCTCTGGTCGCCAGGATTGGCACGATCCAGTCTCTTCCTGCGACCCCGAATGAACGGGCTACCCAGGACGCCCTCCAAGTCCCAACTGAACCAAGCCGGCGGCAGCCCGCCCGCAAGCGCGTCATACGGACAATGGATCTTAGTGACGACGAGATGAGCGAAGGTGCTGGGAAGGACGAGTCCGAGGAGAGGGTGAGTATCGTGCCTGACCGACTCTAGAGCGTCCATTACGGTATTGATTGCTGCAATGAATCGTATAGGACATGTATGGTTGCAAAGTCTACTTAACAGTTCACGGCTGTATGCGTCCAGTGCTAGTTCCGAGGAAAAAGAGTGGTCTCCTCAAGCCCGGGCCGCGCTCGCACGCAAGTCGTTTCTAGCTTGGGGGCCAGCACGAGAGACCTGTGCTCGTTGTCGCCTCTCACCAAGGAAGCGGTTCAGGGGGATCCCCTCGGGCTGTGCTCGTTCTTAATGTTGCTTCTCAGCCGAGAACAGCTGAGAGGGATCCCCTCTGGCACTTTTTATTTGCTTGTCTCCCGAAATTGAGAGGATGATCCTAGGGCTCATTCTGGGGAAGTGTAGCAAGTCAGAAGAGATGATATTGGTGAGGTGGAGGACTTGAAATCTGCTTTCCTCCTCCTTGTGCAGCCCCCAAATCGAAGGCAGCGGATGGAAGACAAGGGCGAGCTTGGACGGCGCTTTGGATCCGGAAGGGGCTACCCACAGAGCGCGCAGGACGAAGGCGGCCGCCCAAGCCAGCAAACGGGTCTTGAAGACTGCTGGAAGAAGCTCACGGCCAATGAAACTGCCGCCAGAGGCGGTAACGAGCAAGAAGTCGGCCGCCTGCCGAGGGAAGTGGGCCGCGACAGTCTAGTGCAGCGGACAACAGGGCGCGAAGACGGCGCTCGCGCCGTGAGTAGCCTCACCAGCCGCGCGCGACATGAAGCTGATCGTGGAGGGCGCGCTCAAGGTCAAGTCGGCGGCCTTGAAGAGCGCCTGCACATGAACAACGGCCCACAGGTCTCGGCTCGAGTGGCCCGGGAACGGACTCAGGCACAGGGAGGCGCACAGGCGGCAACTGGGCCAGGTTGTTATATTCATTTATTGTAACAAGGAGGCTCCGAATCTCATTGCTAGTCCATTCTGGCAGGCAATAATGTTCCTTTTAAGCTGCAGCGGTTTTGAGAATTTTGGCTTCACGTGCCACTATTTCCAAGGGGACCCGTTTTTATTTGCCAAACCAATTCAGACGACTACAGTATCTACGAGAATCGGTGTATCATACTATTCAGAGCTGGCTGTCAATGCCTCCAAAGAACCTCATTTGGATGTTTTCCGGTCCTGTTTGAATTCGTTGGCAGATCTATCTTCAGAACACTCTGAACGTGCGCATTGAAGAGAAGACCATGAAGCGTGACGTGAGGATTAGTCACCTCGAAAGTGCGGACTCGAAGATTGAATGGAATTCGAAAGATTGGAGCCACGGCCGCTTGTTTCCGATCGCAGTTCTTTTGTCCTTCTTGTATTCTCACCGCTTTCTCCTCCTCAACCGTTGTCAGCTTGTCATGCACCCTTTTAAGTTGAGAACCCAACACTACGGCGAAGTACAAATCTAGCTCTTCAACTTTCATTGACGGCCATGACGAGTAGAATTTAGTTTCCTGAACCAACTGTTTATCCCCGCAGGGACAAGCGTCAACGAAATTGACGAGATCGAGACGGTCTGCAACCTTTTGAGAAGCACCAAGCTCGTCAAGAACGCCAGGCAGGTTCTGAGAGAGGGGGATAAGAAATCTTTCATGCAGTCGTTAGCCGTAGCGGCATTTGCGGTGGGGGATGCGCGCTTGTGCAACGAGGGCGTTAAGCTGGGGACAAAAAGTACCGACTGGCCGATGCACCAATGGTTTCATGCGGTGGCCAGGCGACTGGGATTTATTCCGGCGGCGTTGGTGTGTCACCTCAAATTCCACTTTAGCCGAACCGAGGACATACGAGGCCGCGCGCGTTTTTGGGAGTTGTGTTGCAGCTCGATAGGTGAGTAGCGCAATGTTTCTGCTTACCCTTTTTCAGCAATTGACTAGCTCTAGCAAATGTGATCACATCAACCAGCTTTCGTGATCCATTATGGATGAATCTTGACTTTAAGCAGAGAAACTCATTGACGAGGAAGACCGTCGAAACCCTTACCTGTGTAGCCAATACCTCTTGCCTTATTCAAAAGACAACGCTATTTGATTCCACTGTGCTTAATTTGGAATCCTTCTCTTTTCTGGAGCGGCTATTGCACACAGTACTTCTTCGTACTTAGTAGGCCTGCGCAAGGCAACTTCTGGTGATCTGGCCCCTAAACTTTGCATCTTATTTGCTGTACAGATTCGAAGGAGTTCGCCACCGACATCTGCAAGCTCTTCAACACTGACATCAACAGCAAGGCCCGATATTTTACCCTCCCCTCGCCAGCTGTCCTGGAACGCATCTTCCAAGAAGACCCCGGACTACTCTTCTCCTTCTGCCTTTCCGGTTTTCTCCAGGGGGAGGGTTGTCTTATGAAGTGTCGGCCGTCGATGATAGCAAAGTACCCGGCAATACTCTTCGTTTCAGGGAGCTTGAAAGCCATACTTGGCATCTGGTGTTCCATAGCGCGGTGCTTCGGAGTGGAGACGGGCTCATTCAGTATATGTGTTGCAAAAATTGAAGAAGATGACGTCTTCCCTGAGGACGACGACGTTCATGTGTCGAAAAAGGAAGCAGAGCCGGACATCGACGAAACGGAGACGCAACCGGAGCGGAAAGGACGTGTGCGGTACTCCGAGCTATCGGACAGAGAGGAGCGGCAGGGGGTGCGCTTGCTGCTGCAAGTGGCGCGCGCGAGATCGAAAGAGATCAAAGATGCCCTGAAACGGTGGGCCCAGGAAATTGGCGCGGAGGACGAGAACTCGGACGAGGAAGATTCCGAAGGAGGAGGGGTTGTTTGGAGCAAGGAGCTAGCCAGGGGTCTCGCATGCCGCGCGGCAAAACGGTTTGCATATGACCGGCCGCTGACCTATGACCTGGTTATGCGGGTTGTCATCGAGGAGTTGGAGAAAATCTATCTGCAAGATGCGGGCGACGGCCGGAAAGTGATGTATCGCTTGACTTACACCGCAAAGCACGACGTCCTCAAACTCGCCGTCATCCTGGTGATCGGAAGCGACTGGAAGACAGCCGTGACGACAAAACTGGAGGCGTTTGTGAAATGGGCGACCACTTTCAAGGAAATCGGTAAAGGTATGTATTCTCGTCCCATCTGAGTTGCTCATTTGTTTCTAAACATCTGGGAGCTTGTTTTTGACCATCTCATAATGGAATAATCTAATCAATTCAAGTTCCACAACCTGACTAATTTTGGAGACACTCAAAAAGCACCTGGGTCTTTTCACAACTTCCCTCCTTAGAGCAGGGTCGTGTAGCGGCAACTTTGCTTTGTGCTTCTCGCGGTTTCTGGAGAGAGCTATCAGGCAAGAAAAACTAATTTGAATGAAACCGTTGTCATACAAGTGCCGCCGAACGGCCCGCGCATGCGCCAGCGTGGTGACAAGAATCGACGTACATGGTACTCTCGGACACAATCGTCTTCAAATCTAAAATCTATCAGAGTGGATTCAGTTAGCGATTGTTTGCTCCGGTGCATCAAGCTGTTCACAAGATGCGAGCACATCCTGGCGGAATTACCTGCGCAGGATCAACATCTCGATAATGCTCTAACGAAGAAAGATATGCTCAGTTTCTAGACAACCCGATTTACTTCACACTTTCAGTACAACAGAACTGTACGAACCCGCAGGTCATACAGTTCTGTTGTACTGAAGATTTCAGCGAATTTCAGGGTAGTCCAGCTAAACAATTGCTATGCGGATTGCCATCGCTAACTTCGTGACAGCGGACACCATTACACTTTTTTCTTTGCTGGCAGGCAACTTTCCAGGCGCACAGAAGGGGATCGAGTTTCGTGAAGGGATCCGACCCTTCGCCCAGAAGAGCAACGATATCAACCCGGGGGACCCACACTGCTGCAGCTCGCTTGAAGCTCAACAGTATCACCTGAAGAGGTGGAAGGAGAACAAGCTTACGTGGGATCAGTATCGTACGGCGTCGTGGGTATCCTCAAAATCAAGTGCCAGCGGCAGGCTGAAGAAGGAGAACATCAACTCAACGGTGGAGACCGACGCTGGTGAGTTTCTTGAAATTTCGAGTGCCAAAACCTATCCGATCAGAGATCGACCGAACGTCTCATTGGTAAGCAGATCTAGAATCAACGTCAAGTCACATACAACAATCAGTTTGGAAGTGAACAATTTATCCCTGCCCTACGAGAGTCAGAAGAGCCTTACGAAATGGCGAAAGTTTGACAAACGACATTGGTAGACAACAATCCAAACCCATCAGCCTTGACCATTTGCTAGACAATCGGTTTTGGCTTTCTTCTGGATCCCTGCCTCAAATTCTTTTTCTTTGCACCACCACCGACCGAGGCAGACACGTAGTTGACCCCTATTTGGGCCCGTCGAGAGAACCTTTCCTCCGTCACCCGGTTGACCGCTCGGGCGAGAACGGGAGAGAGGAGACATGCTCGCCCCCAGTCGAGAGACGGGGGGGAAAGTATTTAATACCGGGGAAGAGGCCTTCCCTTAGGAACAAGTCCCCACTCCTCTCAAGCGAGTGATTCCAAATGCAGATGCTCATCAAATTCCCCATTTGTTGCCCGTTACTTTCTGGCAGTATGATGCTTAAGATTGTGAAGAAACCCGAATATTGTCTCTCAGGATTCACTGGCTTGCTTATTCCCTTGTAGGGTCTTTGTTCGGTTCAACATTAGATACGCGCCAAGGTCGCCTGTCTTGCTTCAAAGCTGTGGAATCCCAAAGATTGTGGTAGTCTGATTCCGGAAGTCTCCTAGACGTTCTTTGAAGACATTGAGTTGTAGGATAGGCTGAAAGGCTGCTTGAAGCCCTCCGAATAGTTCAATTTTCTCCAGAAGGTGCTGGTTGTTTGACTAATTATCCTTGTCCCAACACTTGGACACACGCATGAGAGGGCTTAGATGGCTTTGAAGTAGTCTTCAAGCAGAATGCAGTTTTTGGTTGCCAGGGGACGACAGGCAGAAACAATCTGCACTTTTGTTTTCATTTGCTAGTTGAGCATTCAAAAGCCGTCTTGCTGGACCGTGATATATATCTGAGTCTTTTTTTCGAAGATAAAAAACGCAGGAGGTTTTTCACTTGGGCGAGATGCATTGGGCGGAGTTCTGCCCCTGTGGACGAGGGGTGAGAAATGACGGGATTTCCCCACTTGGCAAATCGGGAAAGAACAGCCTCCCCCGATTCCTTCTCGTACTCCCCCTTTTGGCAACAAGCCAATTCTTATTGATACTGTTTCGATGCTGTGCAGTTTACTGGGAGCAAAGATCAAATCTGTGGGATCCAGAGCTGAACAAGCGGATCCATCAGCACGAGAAGCGTTTTGAGGTGCCGAATGGGGCGACATTCGATCCTGAGGTGCTAAGGAACAAGTTCCTGCAGCGTCCCCAGCAGCTCGGGCTCTTTCTGCGTGGCAGCGCGGAAATCTGTTCAGACCTGCCAGTGACTACGTCTCAGTCTAAAGATGGAGAATGCGCTTTCCTTGTGGAGGAGGCGTGGCTGAAGGACCTGACGGACTGGCTCTTCAAGCAGCCTCCCTGCGGGCCACCCCCCTCGCCAACGACATACGAAATCAAAACGACGTGGCCTCTTTTGTTGGGTACGGAACATTCGACGGCCATGGTTGTAACGAGCTATCAGCTCTTCGTTCTCGCAACACTTCTTCGCTTCGAGGATTATGACCCCCAGAAGCTGCCGCGAGTGCCGGTCAGCACAGGAGCAGGACGGAAGAGGGGGACGGTCGCCGACCTACGACCCGCGTCCATTAAAGAGGTCCGTTTGCGGACGGCGGGCGGCCTGCTGACAACGACACAAAGCAAACTCTGGGTGTCCACGAACTGGACGATGGAGCAACTACGAGCCAAGACGAAGGAGTGGTGTTACAAGGGCTTGAAGGTGGACCAGACGGACTACTTCGGAACCCTTGATTGGAGGTAAGGGTCACAGTGCTTACTAACGCAAAACGGTCATCTGGAGCTCCAGGGTTGCGGTCTTTACAACATAAAAGTCGATAAGTGATTGATGGATTACTTTCAAAAATGGATAGCACAACGCGCGACACGCTTACTCAAATTTGGGGGAAATTGTCAGATGGCACAGTGTGATGCGTCCCCTTTTCTCTGCAAATCTCAACTCAAAGTTACAGCACTGGGTATAGTGGACACGCGCTCAACTAGGCAAATGAGAAACTGTTCAATCGATTTGCGATGAACTGGGCTCAAAATGCGGTTGCAATTGTTTTAGGAATCGATTACTGGTATCTAAAAGAAATAAATCACCAGCGTGATGTGCCCCATCACAATCACACCCCCAATACGTTACTTTGACCCTTGTCCTCCGCCGGCCCTGTTCCACCCAAATCGCCCTCACAGACATCCAGGCGCGCCTTTCTAAAACCTTTTACAGCATTGCCACTCGCGCCTAGCCTTTTACAAAAAGTAAAGGAAGAGAGAAAGAGAGGTTGTTTGCCAGGCCTGCTAGTCTGTTCTTCTGAACTTCCGGACCCATGTATGTTTGCTGTGAAGCAGTTTGTCCATCTACGCCTTTTACAGAACCGAGGTCACCCTTCTGGTCGACTGTGCCCCTGTTGGACAAGCGAGGAGCGTGGCGTTCAATTCGGGTCAGACTCTCGGTGTCTTCATCGAGAAGGGGCTTGAGTCGGCGCTGGAGAGGGCGGAGCGGCCGCACTGTCGTGACTGGACGCGTGTTGAATTGATTGTGGTCGGTGAGGAGGCCGCTCCACCGGGTGTACCAAAAGCCCTCCGAGCGGCGGTCGAAAAGTCTCGAATGGGAGCGGAACTTAGTGAAGGAGCGAGCGAAGGAGGAGACGGCGATCAGCGAGCGGGGGGTAAGCGGTGGGAGCCATACGCGGAGTTTAATCGCCGTTTTGTTGGCACATGGAAGCAGCAACTAGAGCGGGCGCGTCGATTGAATCTGTCCGAGATGGACGTCCGGCCGGAGCAAGTCAACGCGCTTGAGGCGCGCATAAGGCAGAAGCTCGAAACGATCAGAGAGAGTCTCGGGGACGACGAGAAAGAGATTGACATCGAGATCAAAGCCTACGGACTCACGCTGATACGCACCGTGGAGATGACCCTGACCTGGGCAGACGTGAGCCCGCGGGCAAGGAACTGGGTGTACGACCAACACCTCCTGAATCACATCGAGATGGGGGGTTGGCTTTGCAACAAGTGCGATCGGGTTGTCCCGGGCGAGGATTCGGACGATGTACCGAGGAACATCCGGTGTTGTTGCACCGAAGGGGAACGACTGCCAAAGGGAAGAGGGCGCTCGCAGCCGCGCACCTCACCCGAGCCGGATCACAAATGCGGTTCACGGAAGATCAAATGGTCGACGGCAGCTTGTGGCGGCCGGAGCATTCTCGTTGTGCAGAAAACGTTAGTCGAACTGGGATGCGCCACGTGGGCGCTTGCAGGCCCGAAGAAGTTTCGCGGGACGCGTGTTCCGTACACGTGGCCTGGCCCGGAAGGGAATGGCGCCGAAGGATCGATTACAACGATCCAGATGGCGAAGCTGATGTGGCAGGTGCTCCTGAACGCAGGCTTTGACGAGTATGTTAGGTCGATGTAGGATTGTACGGAAACAGCTCGAAGGCATCGCCATAGGATAGCTATGTTTTGCAAGTGTGCCCTAGGTCCACGAGTGGCCAGAAACTATGAGCGCCAAATATCCAGATAGATAAAACCAGCCTGACAATCGGAATGCATAAGTACGATGTTTTCATGTAAGATTTTGCCGAGTTGTGGTGGGCCGTGTTCTAGAACATTGTTTGTGATATGCTTGATTGAGATGACGGACAGAATCATATCCGGACCGGCCATGCAAACGCAGACGCGGATACAGCCCGCATATCAGCATGACTTGCTTGGAGTGTACCTTGCATGCATGATCTTATCTAGCCGCTCAAATCGGTCCGACGCATATGCAGCATATAGAAACGTTAATTCTAGGGCCATCACGACCGCGTATGTATGAGTTCTGTGACCGTCATGTTGCCGATTGTGAACGGCAAAACAAAACAAAATATAAAATGTTCATCCAACTAAGCCCTTGGGCGGAGATCAAGTCAGGCATGCCGCATAGTTCGTGGATCGGCATGGGGACCCCACTAGAACTTCGATTATAGCTTAACCAAATTATGGCGGCAAGTCCCGCAATCTTTGGTCAACTTGAGTCGGTTGTTCAAAAGATAAGCTTCATGACGTTTTTAACGACTGTGGTCAGCATTGTCAGCTCTGCCGAGACTGTGCCATTGGATGTCTTGTTCTTTTCAAGATTAATTGTGCGCACATCTACATAAATCTGAAAACCAAGTGGCGGTCTACCCAAGAAGAACTAACGGTTATCCCCTACTGTGGCCCGTACTGGCCCGTAAACAAGAAGCAAACAAGCAGAACCCCAAAACAGAGACCTGGACTTTGTTGAACTGGTTCTACGTGCACAGCGGTCAATCACTGCATGCGGCCTCCCTAGTTCAAACCTACTTTGCCACAAGATATTAGGAAGAAAGTCTCCGCTAGGAAGTTGATGACGGCTGAGCGTCTTGGCATGCAGACTCGGAAGCGCCAGCTGGCGCAAGCCAACCCGTCGAAGTGGTCATTGGGCGGCGCGCTTTCTACAAGCCTTGGACGGGTTGGTGCAGTACTAGCCGGAAGGCAGGCAGAACTGCGGGCTGCCGCATCCAGTGCTGGCGACGCAACGAGGCAACGTCGCAACTTAAGAAAATAGAATTATGAACGCCGCACGTGGCACGCTGACAAGACACCGCTACTGTTGATAACGAATTGTCAGGGTGTGTAGAATTTGACGAGCTGCTAGGCGAGCGCCGATTGGCGACATGCCGAAACGGGTGAGCCTGCAGCATCGGGGCCCGAAGCACGACATAGTGGACAAATCCCAAAGCAGGACCTTATACAATTCGGCTCTTTTTGCTGGACGACGAACCGGACCACAGTGCGAGTGGGGATCATGAGCCAGGTGTGAACTGAGAAGGTAAAGTAAGCTTGCTGCGACTGTCTGGGAAGGTGGGTGCACATTGAGCTAGACAATTGGCTCAATGACGACCTGCTGTCGATCCAAAGCCCAGGAACCTGCTCCGATCATTGGGCAAAAGACAGCAAAAGATCGGACGGGAGACTTCATCAAGGCGGGGAAACGTAACTGGGGGCGTGGCAACCGGAAGAAATATTGAGGAGGACAGCAAGAACTCGAAAGGGCGCCGGAGAAGGCGCAGGACGAAGGGAGAGGACACGTGGAAGATGCTGGGCCACAACGGGCTCTTGGGAAGAGGGGTGGGAGCGGGGTGCTGGTTGGAAAAGCAGCGAGAGAGGGTTGGGATTTGTAAGCCACTTTCTGGGCCACAGGTCGTGAGCGCACTTTCTGCAGGAATACTAACTCGTGCAAACACAAAACCGACAGGAAATAGATCTCTAGACAGTATGGACGAGGAAGCTTTTGAAACAGAGAGCTCAAAAGTAGAGCCATCCACCCCTCATCTGGCGCAGCTTGTGCCGTAGCCTTAGAAGATCCTAGGGGAGAGAAGTGCCACTCTGTGGTGGCCTATTCCGGCGGCCTTTAATCGTCGATGATTGGCGCGAGCACAAAGACCAGTCGCGGCGCCGGACGCCATAAGCACGAGCGCGCCGGGTGGGAAGTGTCCAAGACGTCCTTCAACCAGGAGACAACCAGGTGTAGCCCACCGCCGTTTAGAATTTGGAATTTGGTAAACGCGCAGGGGGACCGCGAGGAGGATGTGGAGGCAAGGGAAAAGCGAACTCTGCATAGCACGACGTCATATTAGACTTGGAGGCGAGATTCTCGGAGTCAAGTAGGGCTGATGACAATGGCTAGGGAGGAAAAAGCGTCTGGTTCCTAAACAATATTTATGAGGGTTGCTTCCGTTGTCCAGAGTTTGCGAAGGCGGCCAGGCGAGCCCCAGGAATAGTGGAACCCTCCGAACGGCAGTGGGGGGGTTCTTCCGAAGGCAACCCTGACCGTCCGCTCTCCTCAGCTTGTCCGCTGCCCTGTCCAGCGTCAGCACTCTCGGCATCGCTGGCCCAATCCGCACGCGCATCTGCGCTCATCCTGAGCACTCCCCCATGCACCTCATCTGCCCCCAGATCTGTGCGAGGCCCCCCCATCGCCGGCTCCTGCTCTTGCCGACTGATAATATCGAGACATTTGTCCTCGTACGGATCCCGCAGGATCCGGCCCCTCGCGTCTTTCTCCAAGTAGGATACGTAACGGAGCCCTTGCAGATCCCAATATGCGAAGAACGCCTCGCGCACCGCCAGCGGCACCCCCCCAACCCCGCGCGCAAGCCACATGGAGGCGAGCTTGAATGCGCCCCTTTCCCCCACGAGTTCGACGCAGGCTGCATGGGGGCTCCACTTCCCCCCCCGAGCTGGGTAGATTGTTATACCGGTATAGTGGCAACTTTGGTTTTGGAAGTCCAGCATTTCTAGGAGATGCTCCGTGGTAACGTGCTCACCCAATTGCCGCCCCTTGGCAAAGGTTTGAGACCCTTTCGTCCGTCTGAACTGCTGGGCTTGCCATGACCCGGTGCCACGGCGCTTCTCGACGTTCCCCGCTATGAATGCTCTTGATTTGGCAATGAGCTCGTCCACGTTTTGCTGCGCCTTCTCAAGCGTCAGCTCGAAATACTTGGCGTAGCGGCTGAGATCAAACTGGCCAATCTGTAAGAAGGACACCGATGACACTCAGCATCAACCAAGCTGCGACTCGATGACCATCTGTCCTTTGCGGGGTCGAGCCAAGGCAGGAAACAGTACCAACGCTCAATCGATGATGGCTGCGCGCCAGGATAACCGACAAACTACACGATCTCGCCCGCATGTGTGAAAGTCATCGTGATGACATCGTCTTTGATGGACGACCGGAACCTAAGAAGCGAATATACTGAGAATGCTGGACCTAATCGACGATTGATGTCACGATTCTCAGCCTTGATGAGCATGTATGGGAGCCATCAAGCCAAGCGCTGCTCGCACGACACTGCTCAAACTGAAGAGAGCACACTGACGAACAAGTTCTGAACAAGGTGCTTTTCAAGGGAGGGTTTCAACATTGCATTCGTACCTCAACCATGAAGGCGGAGTAAAGTCGGAAGTCGCCCTCTGCTTTCGCGAGCTGCAAAGCCAAACGAATAGGATCAGCCAGACGTAAGGCAGGAAGAAAAAGCCGACAGGTTGAAACTAGACGAGCGGTTTTGATGACGCGTGAATCTCGAGACTATCAAGACAACAGCACCGTCAAATGTCACTTCAGAAGGCAGTCCTTCTTAAAGACAGCTTCTGCATGGAGTATGGCAGAAATGGTTCCATGTTGCCTTCCGCCATTTAGAAATATCAAACGAGGGCTTACATTGTCAAACAAGATCGACAGCTGAATGTTTCCCATCTCCTGGACCATCCTGAAGGTCAGATAGAAGTTCTCTGGGTCGGCCTCGAAGCGAGCGAGAAGCTCTCGGTATTTTGGCAAGTAAATTCTGTAGCCATAGGACGTCGAGCCATCCTCAATCTTGTCTATGGAGGCGACGGACAGGCCGTGGTGTTCTGAGAATTGGTTCGATGCTGACATCGCAAACCGGAGCCGAACGTCTGCACGGGGTTCAGGGCTCGTTCAAACGCTGAGAGGGTGTCAAGGCGCCCAAAATTTACGTGAGTACGTTTGACTCTCCGAAAACCAGACAGAGCAACTCTTTCCTTCCGCCATTTCCTGCCCCATCATTTCTAAGTACGAAATTCGTATTACTTGATTATGCACTTTTCCAAGCCATGTACCTACCTTTCCGCAGCGGGTGCGCGCATTTGAACATCCTGACGATGATGGCCAGCTGCTCTGCTGTTGGCCGCTCCCATCCTGGTGGACACGAGAGGATATCACGGCCCGCCCTCTCGTCGATCTGCCGCTTACAATCGTTGGTGTGCTGACACAAGCATAAGGAAGGACAATGATCAATGACTCTAGATTCGTGTGAATCGTAGAAGAAGTGGGATGTGCATGAAGCGAACATCCGGCACAGGTCATGCACAACACACAACCGCCAATAAGCGATGGGTACCCCGTTCAGAGGCAGAACTTTCTGGTCGCAGTTCACAAAAGCTTCCACAAAAGCTCACTGTATGAATCACAAAATTTCTGTGCTTGGCACGGGCTTGCACCAGCAATACAGATTCTTCAACCGGAAACCAGATCGCGACCTGGAGGATTTGAAAATCAAAGGCTTGTTAAGGTTGACTTGACGCTCCTCACTCACCTTTGCCCAGACCTCCAACGGCAGGTCCTGATCCGCCAGTGTGTGGACGTACATTCTCAAAAAGGCTGAAGTAATGCCGAGTGGAAGATGTTTTGAATGCTTCTTGATGAACACGTCGAAGTGCGTGAAACGAATCTGCAGAGGGAAGACCTTACGAAGTTAAGCTGAGGAGACAACGTGTGCATCCGAAGCCCGAAACATAATCACAGGTAACCAAACAGTCCGACAAGCACATTAAGACCATCAAGCAACATGACCACCGCTCCGACTTAAGCCAGAACAGCTCATTCTTCACAGCCGCAGTATCATCTAGAGGTTTTCAATAAAGGCATTTCCGACCTACCTCCTTCCTTTTTGCAACATTCCCTATCGCCTTTTCGCTGCACCAAGATCACAATATAGATGAGATTGCAGCTCTAACAGCTTTCTAACCCACCTCCTGGGAAGGCCAGCGTCGCTCTTCTGGAGGAACAAACTCGGTCAACTCAGAGAGGTGTGACCGTATGAAGTTTTGATGACATTTTCCATGCGCAGTCTCCAATCGCCAGGCTGCCTGTCCGGCTCCTGAATACAAGCACAGCAGAGGTTTGAGACACCGTCTTTGTCCTGTGACATTTCGCAGGCATGCAACTGGTACTATGAATTGGCAATCCTAAAGTGTTTCTTGGTATAATTTGTTAACAGAAGAGATGCATGTACGTTGTGTTCCTTGCACCATTGACACTTGGCACAGAGCAGCTCACAAACGCCCTTCTATCACGTGTGTTACATCGTGTTACTTTAGCCAGCAAACAGGGTTTTGACACTCGCGATTTTGAGGGCCTCCATATGCTGGAGCAGTCGATCCATGAGCCGGATCAGCTGCCTACGGACTCCTTCTGGATGCAGGATGTGCTCTTCATGTCCTGCTTCTTTTTCAAGCTGCTGGACAAACGGATTGTCAGAATGACCTGCTCTTAAGAGGGACTCTATGAGATCCCGAGCATCCTCGGCATATCTACCCTGGAGCTTCTTATGCGGCTCACGGGTTTTGGGGTCAACCTTGAGGTCCCCGTGTTCATCAAACAAGTTCAAGCCAGCTACACCCAAAAGCTCCAGCTCAAGTGATTGAACTTCGTCAAGGGCCCACACACCCCGCGGACGATTCCCCTCGCTCAGAGGCCCACGCGTGACTTTCTTTGCAATCGATCGCCTTCCAATAGGGACCCCTTCTTCATCATCGCTGACAAGCTGGTGAGCCCTAAGTTCTTGGAGTAGCCGCTGCTTGTCATACCCCATCAGCTTCACTAGCCGCTGTGGCACTGTGACTTTGCCGATAGCTTTGCCTGCAGAAGCCTCTTCTCTAGAACCAGGCCATCTCGAGTGAGGAATGTCAGGCTGGAAGACTGTCCGAGGAGGCTTCTGACTGTGGCTTTGCCAGGGTGCAGCAGTTGGGTTTGAAGCTTGGCTTTCCGAGAGGCCTGATGGAACTAGATTTGCAATCGTCCCAGCAGGTCTTAAGTCTGTGGACGTGAAGGCTGGAGTCGATAGGCAAGGATGCTGCATTCCACTCAGCAAGCTGGCGTTTGACTTCATTGCCCAACGAGGTACGCGCCCTCTGGTCTTCTTTGCAGATGTCTCCTGCACATGACGCAATATGCAAGATGGTGTCAGCTAATCATGTTTTACGTTCCTGACATTAAGGCTGTCCATCTACCGCCGAATGAGGCCATTCGCTGAACGAAAGCATTCAGTGGTCAAGTCGTTGGTAAAATGGTAGGCCCTTCCAAGTTGATCCCAGGAAAAGGATTGGAAAATGGAAGCATGTGTCTGGACAATTGTGAACCTGCCCTTTCATAGATGTGATAAAACCGCAGCCTGACAGTGCCACCCTAAGACAAAAGTGTTTGACAGGGATTGGCAGCTGACGGGCATCTTCCATAGCTCAAATGGTCAGTCAGAACCTGATCCAGGATGCTCTTCATTTGTCATCCACTGCTGACAATAGATTAGGCTGATCTTTATCAGAATCTCCCCTCTCCATACTCAAAATCTCAGTCGGCAGGCTGCCAGGGGCTGTTAGATGTGGAAAGAAACCTCACCATCTTCAGTGTGAGAAGAACAGACAATCTTTCCAGCAGGATGTCTGGTCGCTTGGTCTTCAGATTGAGGATTGACCTTGCTGCAGCATTAGCGACACAGAGCTGTGAGACGCTGCGCAACAGCCAACAAATATGCTGTATGCTGACAGACTTGTCCTTATTGAGCTGCTAAAGTATGGATACTGCTTAATGGATACGGACAATCAGTTGCTACTGTGGTGCATTTGCAGATGCACCTTTTTGATAGCACGCTTGTCAACCAAGAGTTGCCTGGCAGAACTTTAGCTGATGCATAAGCAAGAAGAATCCAAGATACAGGCAGGGCAAGTGTAGCCCAGACATCAGAGGGCAACAGTGCATACATGCGCTTTACTGGCACGCTTCAAAGTCGCATCTTCCTAACGATTGGTGTGATTGAGTTCCAGGCATTCCCCCATGAAGATTGAAGATAAGAATAGAGCAGACCTTGTCAGTCGCAACCAAACCCCTTAATTGTTGTTGTACCAGCCCCAGTAGAATGTTGAGTCGTTTAAGCTCACCTCAAACAAATGTGGACCGCACATGCCTCAGGCTTGATGAAGGTGTTATCATCAGAAGACAGCATAGCAGAATCATGTAGTGACCTCAATATCCTTCTGAGCTGGTTTTCAGTCGTACTGTATTTGGCATCATGTCTCAGCAGCGACATTAGCTGAACGCATCATCTGCTGCTTGTTGATATGGTCAAACGTGACCTGCTTGCATGCTCCGAGCTGGCCACAGGCTGCAGCCTAGCTCCCTCAGAACCTTCGCAGCGATCCAGAATCTGCCTCGATCAGCATCTTCACTCTGTGCTGACGGGATTCACTAGCTTTCACCTGCCACGTTACGCATTGCTCATCTTCCTGAATCCGCTTCACAAAGACCGGGGACATTCTGTGCATCGAAGAAAGAGTTCACCCTTGGCTCCCCCTCTTTCTCTTGCCATAAGTGGCATTTAAGCAAGGACGCAGCGCTTCGAGGGAGCCATGAAAGTCCTGTGGAATGGGGACCGAAGCAGCTGCACAATGGCGGCTGCATCATGCATCGGTTTACCTACCTGCGGTCGATCAATGTGCAGAGCAATCCCTTTGATCTATTGGACGGCTAAAAGACCATGTCGGGAATTTCTTTGTCCTGGGCGGTCGATCGCAGCGAAACGCTTCATCCGACGGCCACGCTTCAAACTGAGACAATCCAGTGACAACCCGCAGTTTTTCTTTTGAAGGGTCCGTTATTCCTTTTTTCTCCTCCTTTTTGCATTTTGAATCCGTGCGGAAAGAGATGGGCGAGAAATACTAGCCGCCTTGTGCTTTCGGGGCAATTCAATGGTGCTTAAAAGTGACATTTAGCCCGTCCACCCCTTACGAACACTGCTCTTATGCTCCCCTTATGCTCCTCCCATTCTCCCATTCTGTCTGACAAAGGCATCCTCCACGGCCCGTTAATTCTCAGCACGACTTCCATTGATGACGGTTTGACATCATCGATCCAAAGAATACAGATCTATCACAGCATTGTCGAAAGTTCAGGGAAAGTTCCCTTATCCACATGATCCAACTCGCTGCACAACCTCACAACTGTCAATAAGTTGAATTTCAATCAGTCAACACATTGGACATGCTTGTCAGATTCTGTAAATCCATGCAACTAGTTTGTAGCGGCTCCATCAAGTTTCGTCAACATGTGTACATGTCCACGTAGACATAGACTAGATACTATAGAATCAATGACCCACATGCAGGTGCGTGGCCGCGCCGCGCGGTTTCTAAACCCTCGCTAAACCCTGCTCGGAATGAGGCGCGCCTTGTGATATAGAAGTCTGGAAACACGGATTCAGGACTTGACTTATAACAAGCAACTAATAAATTGTAACTAAAATACAATACCCATCTAGTAGTACAATCTCATGGCTTCAATGATCTTGCAATGCATGTACTAACTCATCGTCTCTGTAACGGCGCTAGCTTTCCGAGCCCCTCGCGGGGATCCCCCGGTAGCTATACGCGCGCGGGTCGCGCGGACTAGTGTCGTTAACGCGCCGTGCGGCCGCGAGTTAAACCCCGAGCCAGATCCGCCGTCGGATGGCTGGATCCAAAACGGAC